TATTTTCCTCTTACTTTTTAAATATTCATAGTCTTCATAAACCACAAAATACTCAAAACTTTTTAAAACGTTTTTTAAATTATTCCTTTCCTTTAAATTAACTCCTTTATAATATATTTTTAAATTCTTTTAAATTTATTTTCATTCATTATTGCAAGTTTATTGCCCCTTAAATATTCAGCACTCATCACTGCTTTGCTTTGAAATCCTTTGAACACCTGCTTAAAAATTCCGATTGAAACACAAATATTCTGACAGCAAATTATCAACACATCAATCGAATTGAAATCCTTTGGCAAAGGACACCTTAAATAGTTTGTGGTTAGTTGACAGTTTTCTACTCTTGCCAAGATTTCTTAAACTCCGATTTCGGAATCCCTTTGAAGAACCCTATGCTTCTGCAATCAGCCTGATTGAATTCTAGGCAAAATCCTTGAAGGAAGCCCGAGAAATATGCTAATAAAATTTCAATTTCAGCTCCTCCAAGGAAATGGAGCTGCTGGCATATTGTTTTTTGTTTGTTTTCTGTTTTCGGCAGCTCTTGGTTGTTGTACTCGGCTTTTTATTGCCAGCTGGGCCATAAAAAAGAAGCCATCTCTGAATGCACTTTCGGCCCTGCGTCTGTTGGAGTCATAAAACAGAGCGCTGCACAGAAAGAAAAATATTCTCTGTGTATTTAAATGTAAAATAAATATGAATAGAATTTTTTTGTTTAATTTTAGGGAAATCAAAATCAAAAAAAAAATTTACTATAAAAAGTAACTTTCAATCGAATCTATCTCTTCAACTCAATTCAATGAACTCTTATTTGAAAATTTTTAAATCTTTAAAATGCTGGCATATTTTTTAAACATATTTTAATGTGGTGCATTTTTTTTCTCAGTGAGTTCTGATTTTTTTTCCTTTTCCATATTCATTTTTTCCATTTGCAAATGATTTTGCATGCATTTATTACTCATACGCAACGTGGTCCGATTAATATATACTATTTTTTAGCATATGTAGATCAAAAATCTTTAAAATGCTGGTTTATTTTTAGAACGGTGGTAGAAGGTTTTATAATTCTTCTCAGTGAGTTCCTATTTTTTCCAGCTTTTCCCCATCCCTTTTTCCCATTTGCAAATGATTTTGCATGCATTTATTACTCATACGCAAGGTGGTCCGAGGTCAGGGCGCATTAACAGCAATCAATGTGTTTAGCTGCACCCCGAATTCGCCGGTGAATGAGAGATGGAAGGGGGGCGTTAAGCTCGAGGCTAACTAAATGTTGGCATCCTGAGCCGACAGTTCTTGTCATTTAATTTGTCATTTCCCCGGGAGATTCACGGCTCTCTGACGAAATTAAGCGACGTCTGTTGTCTGTTGGCTGATGTCTTTTGCCAGTTTGTCTAATGTCTAATGTCTGTTGCCTGTTGGATCTCTCGGCTCTCTGCCACCTTCGATGCCACCTCATCTCACCTTCAGCCATCCGAGTTCTGAGTTCAGTTCAGTCAGCCCGAAAGCACTTCAAAGGCCATCATCTTGACATTTTGATTTATTGGCTTCGCTGCCGTTGTTTGCCGACTTGGTCTGCGGCTTTAACTTTGGCTTGTCGGCCTGTTGGCTTGTTGGATGGTTGGCTTGTTGCTTTCCTTACATTGCGGCTTGTTGCTGCTGTTTCTGCTGCTGCTGCTGCCTCAGTTGCTGATGTTTGGCAGTAAGCCGCTTACAAGTATTAACCCGCCTGGAAAACGCGCTCTTCTGTATGCCAAACCGCCAAAGAGCTTGGCAGGGCTCCTCAGTTTGCAGTTTACACACACAGAAAACGCCTTTAAAAGTAAACAAGGTATAATGATACCTTGGAAACTTGCTTTATTTTTAAGTCTTTTTTTGATTAAATCTTTCCAATCCCAAAAGAAGTGTATTTTTGTCTAAAATTCAAATCCATATTTTTCACCCAAAAATAACAGTTTTTTGGCCATAATAATGAAAATAATGATCGAAATATGGAATGTCGTACCTCGTTGAACTCGTTATTTCATTCTTAATCGATTGGCATTCAAACCTAGAAATTTTTAATTTTTTTTATTTTTTGCAAAAAATTGTGATGTTACCCCTTATCAAAAATGCGAAAATTTATCAAAAAATAAATTTCCCAAAAAGTGATGGGATTCGTTAGTATGGGTCGTTAGCTGTTCAAAACTGTCGGTCTTTTAGCTGTAGGCCTTGAATTGTCCAAGCTACGACTAAAAAACCATATAAAAAAGGCTGATTTCGTCGAAAACTCAAATCCATATTTTCTATCCTAAAATAGCAGTTTTTTGGCCGTAACAATGGAAATAATGATCCAAATATGAAGTGTCATACCTCGCTTAGCTCGTAATTAAATTCCCAATCGAATGACATTCAAACCTAGAAATTTTCAATTTGTTTCATTTTTTGCAAAAAATTGTGATGTTACCCCTTATCTAAAATGCGAAAATTGACCAAAAAATAAATATTCCAGAAAGTGATGGGATTCGTTAGTAGAGGTCGTTAGCTGTTCAAAACAGTCGGTCTTTTAGCGTAAGGCCTTGAATTGTCCAAGCTACGACTAAAAAACCATTACAAAAAATCCTAAAAATCAGTAATTTGGCCATAAAAATGGAAATAATGATCCAAATATGGAATGTCGTACCTCGTTGAACTCGTTATTTAATTCCCAATCGATTGCCATTCAAACCTAGAAATTTTCAATTTGTTTCATTTTTTGCAAAAAATTGTGATGTTACCCCTTATCAAAAATGCGAAAATTGATCAAAAAATAAATTTCCCTGAAAGTGGTGGGATTCGTTAGTACAGGTCGTTAGCTGTTCGAAACAGTCGGTCTTTTAGCTGTAGGCCTTGGAAATGTCCAAGCTACGACAAAAAACCTTAAAAAAAGGGATATTTTCGTCAAAAATTTGAATCCATATTTTTCACCCTAAAATATCAGTATTTTGGCTGTCATAATGGGAATAATGATCCAAATATGAGCTCGTTGAGCTCGTAATTAAATTCCCTAACAATTGGCATTTAAACTGAGAAAAATATTTTTTTTGTAATTTTTCGCTAAAAATGATGATCATTAAAAAATGGACAAATTTATCAAAAAATAAATAAATAAAAAATCAAAACAGTCGCTCGTTTAGCTGTCGGCCTTTATTTGCCGTAAATACGACTAAAAAACTGAAAAACCCGTTTATTTTTGTCCAAAATTGGAATCAATATAAACTACCCCTTTTTTTTTTTGTATATACATATACAATTTTTTTTGTTAAAACGTTAACGTTATTCTCAGTGCATCTATTGCTGGCAACTTTCTGACATTGGCCTTTGACAGCGAATTGCACCGTTTGCAACCGGATTTTCTGGCCATTTCATTGTGTTTGGCCAGCTAATGCAGAGGGCACAGCTGGTGAAGCAGCAAAGTAAATGGCCGAAATGCAGGTCCTGGTTTCAGGTTTTAGGTTTCAGGTTCCAGGACCCGGAATTCAAAGTCCAAAGTCCGGATTCAAAAGCCCGCTTCCAACTACAAATGCATCCAGTTAACGAGCTCGTTACGGCTCATTGGCCTTTGGGTCGTGCTCTCGTATGCAGTTGGCCAATGTAAATTGAATTCGGTCTCAGTCGCCAGTCGCCACTCGCCGCCTTCGAAACAGAAACAGAAATGCAAATTAAGCGCAAAGTGCTCACAAATGTGGGCGGGGGTTTTCGAAGAGGGGGCGTGGCGGAGGAGGTGGAGGAGGAGGAGGAGGAGGAGGTGTGGCAACAATAATCGAGTGGCACTCGGAACGGCACATAATAACATATAATTATTTGAGCAAATGCAATCAATTTAAATCGTTTGCGGACGAAGCGACGGAATTGAAGCGCTAATTGCGATAATTACTAAGTAAGCAGCCGAGCGCACCCAAAAGAGATTGAAAATAAATATGGGGAAAATTAACAATCTCGGCAAATAAATGCGGATTTAAAGCGCATTTTAAATTGATTTTCGTTGGTGGAGCGTAGATAATAAATATAAAATATGGGATGACATTATGAATAGTTTTTAGGAATATATTTCTGTTTCTACATCACCCATATAACAGAAAAAAAATTAACAAATATTTTCTATTCTGTTTTTTTTTTCTGTTTTTACATTATACACTAGAAATAAAGAGCAAATATTTTTTAATCACCCGTTCGAGCAGCGTCAAAAATAAAAGAAAATATGCCAAATAAAGTATCTTGTGAGAAACTTGAGTGGCAAAGCCATGATTGCGAAAAGGGAAAACTTTCTGCCAAGTTTGGCCCATTAAACTTTGTACTTGTTGAGGATGAGGATGAGGATATCGCAAAGTATTCCCTCTCCGAGGAGCAAAAATCAAGCCAAGACAGTTTTTCTGAGTTCCCTCCTGAGCCGTGTGCACTCATAGTTGACTTGCCATCCCCGCTCCTATTCCTTTTCCCCTCCCCCCTGAAACTCTTTAAGAAGGACATCATCCTCGGAAATAAGAAATGGGAAATAAAATAAAAACAGAGGTTTTTTTCCAAGGCGCAGGCGTGAAATTAAAGAGCGACCATTTCAACTCTCTCTTCCTCAAACTAAACAAATTAATGATTTCCCGCATATTTTTATGGGATAATGTATATATATATTTTTTTTAACGATATTTTGTTAAGAACTTTCGTATATCAGGCAGCAAACATTTTGGATTTTCCATTTAATATTTATGTGATTTTATTGTGGTTCTTAAATTAGCAGAAATCAAGCGAATCTTAAGTCTTTCCGTTTTATTTACGATGTGCGTAAGACCATATAGCTATAGGATACCGAGAGAGAGAGAGAGTTTCCTACAGAAAGAGAGAGAGAGAGTAAAAGAGAGTGTGAACCGGATGCGTGGGAAAGTTGCCGGCGAAAGCGTGGAAAACAAACCGCTACGGAGGAAAATGTCGCCGTGCAACTCGCTCAGTCGAGCATTAGACGCCAACGCGTTCGGTAGCAGCTCTCTCTCTCTCTCTCCCACACACACTCACTCTCTCTCTGTCTCTGTCCGTCTGTCTCTCTCCGTCTCTGTCCGTCTCTCCTTCTCCTTCACACCCACAATTTTTGAAGCGCTCCAGAGGAAAAGTGTGAAAAGTTGTCTTATGTATACAAGTATGTAGAAAAGCGGGAAAAGCAGGGAAATGCAACGGAATTCCGTGTTTTTCACATCACCCACATCATCATCATCATCCCAATCTAATCAAAACTTTTGGAGCCAAACGGGCAGTGTTTTAAATTTAGATCTAAAAACACACCGCTTAATATGCGATCTATAAATATGTCGTCTTATTTTCGAACTGCACTCGCCGGCGATAAATCAAAACAAATCAAAATCGAAATCTAGAAAAAGGCTTCTAATTTTCTCGACAATTTCCCTAACACTTATAAACTTTGAATATGTTTTCTAAACAAGAGATTTGCTAAATTATTTTAAAATTAAATTAAAATTTTTTAAAATAAATTATAGAAATATTAAATGGACTTCGGATTATATTTTCTAATTGAATAGCTCCCTGAACCCGGTAAAATGTTTCTGGCTGTCAACCAGAGTCTGCAGAACACCAGCAAGAAGAAGCGCAAGCGGCGGACGGCGGAGGATGATCCGCAGGAGGAGGACCAGGCCACCACCACCGCCGCCGGAGTTCCCAGTAACCTGGAGTCCAGTGCATCGAGTGACCAGTTGGTCTTGGGAGCCGCCGGTGGCTCCACCTGTCGGCTGTGCAAGTGCCCCGGACGGCAGTCCCTGGCCTTGGTCTACATCTACTTGGGCGCCCTCACCCTCATCCTGGCCAGCCTGTCGCTGGTCTTCTACACGCACACCCAGGATGCCTCCGGAATGCCTCCTGATCTTCCCCTGGACTCGCGAGCCTTTCGCGTGCAATTCCAGGCGGAACTACTGCGTTCGGAGGATGAGCTGCGGGCCATGGTCAGCAGGATACTCGCCGAGGAGGAGCAGCAGCAACTGGGTGGAGGTACCACCACCAGAGCCAGCACAGCGAGCAGCAGGACCAGCGATCCTCTGAAGAACGAGCGCAAGTTCACGGACAACCTGATAAGCCACACGCCGCCGCCCAACGGAAAGAGGATGCGCCGGGACATTGCCTCCTCCGCTCCCGCCTCCATGCATGGTAAGGATATCGAGGATACCGGTAGTATAGATACAATACACAAAAATATTCACCCACAGAACAAAATTTGATAAAAGATTAATACGTTTTGTAAAGATAATTTTATTCATATCATTTTGATAACATTTCAATATCAATTTGATAGGAGTAAAAAATTTATTTATCTTATTTGACATTATTTGCTCATAAAAACTACTGCTTTGGCATTTCAAAATAGTAAATTTATATTATTTTTATTAAATGAAATTACTGATATGATAAAATATCGAATCGATATGCCCAAAAATATTTAGCCACATAGAAAACAATTTGACAAAAAATCAGTACGATTTCTAGAGATCTATTTATTCATATCATTTTGATATCATTTTAATAAAATATATATTTATTCTATTTGAGATTATTTGCTCATGAAAACTACTGTTTTGGTATTTCAAAATAGTATATTTATATGATATGATATGATAAGATATCTAATTGATATGCCTGGATCCTGGATCACGTAGAATTTATCCCTATCTCATATTCATATTTCAATTGTATTTCCTGTGCAGCTGATCCCCTGATCGAGTTCTTCAATCCGAACCACCGCAAAGTGCTCGACGAGCAGGACTCGGAGATCCGCAAGCGGACGGGCCAAAAGGGCGCCGCTCCCGGCGGCGATGAGTGGATCTACCTGAACACCTACTGCCGGGTGCCGGAGAAGATAATCACGGGCTTCTGCAAGGGCACCCAGGACTACTGTCCGCCGGCGCCGCAGGGACCCACGGGCGAGGTGGGTCCGAAGGGGCCCACCGGCAATCCCGGCCTGCCTGGCATTCCGGGTCCCAAGGGCAATCGCGGCGATGTCGGACTGCCCGGCGCCCCCGGCGTCGATGGTGTGGGTCATTCGGGTCCGGCGGGTCCGCGGGGACCCAAGGGAGATGCGGGCGCCACAGGAAGGGCAGGTTTGGATGGAAGGGATGGAGTACCGGGTGAACCGGGGCTGGATGGCGTACCAGGGCGGGCTGGTGCTGATGGCAAGAATGGGCTGTCCGGTCGCGATGGCAAGGATGGGCTGCATGGCAAGGACGGCAAGGATGGTCTGTCCATCACGGGACCCAAGGGAGCCCAGGGACCGCCCGGCGAACGGGGTCTGAAGGGTAAGTAATATATATCTACCAGTTAAATGTAATTCCCTTGGGTTTATCCCCACAGGCATTGCCGGTCCCCGCGGTCGTCCCGGCAAGCCGGGCACCAACGGCACACCCGGAGTGCCCGGCATCAATGCCTGGAAGATGCAGTTCCCCAATGGCAGCTCCTCCAACGATCTGCTCATACCGCCCTCTATAACAGGTGAGTTAAGGGTTAATAACAGGTTAAATCAATTGGGGTTAAATTTAACCAGTAGCAAAAATATTGATTTAATCAGCCTTTTCTTTCTACTAAAAGTATGATTAATGTATTATTGATTATAATTATGGGAAACATTTAACCTGAGGTTAAAAATGCAAAATAATATTACTTCAATCAGCCCTGTTTATCTGACAAAACTGTGGTAATGCAATTATCATTATTAGAAGTTTAGTGAAATATACATTTAACCTGAGGTTATTATTATTTATAATTATGGGAAACATTTAACCGGTGGTTAAAAATGAAAAATAATATTACTTCAATCAGCCCTGTTTTTCTGACAAAACTGTGATAATTCAGGTATTATTATTGGAAGTTTAGTCAAATATACATTTAACCGGAGGTTATTATTAATTATAATTATTTAATTTTTTATTTAATTATTTAACCTAAGGTTAAAAATCAAGTGATATATTACTTTCATTAGTCTTGATTTTCTGTTCGAGCTGTGATTATTCAATTATTATTATTGGAAGCTCAGTCAAATATACATTTAACCTGAGGATGTTATTAATTATAATTATGGAAAACACTTAACCTAAGGTTAAAAATAAAATAAAATATAACTTTCATCCGCCTTGGTTTTCTGTTCGAGCAGTGACCTTTAAATTATTCCTATTTAACCTGAGGTTATAACTACGCACTGTATTAACTTGCCAGATCTACAACTTCCGGACTTCCAACGCTCGGTGATTGTGGAGGAGGGCAGATCGCTGAACTTGAGCTGCTCGGCCACGGGAACTCCTACGCCGCAGGTGGAATGGCGTCGGGAGGATGGTCGCACCATTAATGTCAACGGCGTAGAGAGTGAGTCACCCCACTATCACTTATCACTTATCACTTAGCACTCAACACCCAATCCTCATCACACAGTGGCCTCCGTCAGCGGACAGTTCCTGAAGTTCACCAATATCACACGACACCAGATGGCCGCCTACACTTGTTATGCCAACAATGGCATCGCTCCAGTGGCCAATGCCACCTATCTCGTGGAAGTGCAGTGTGAGTTTATCTATACATGTTTTAAATATTGATCTTAAACAGAAGTTAATCCCCAGTTGCACCCATGATTTCGGTGTTCCGTCAAACGATTTACGCCGAGTACCAGAGTAGCGCCACTTTGGAGTGCATAGTGGAGGCCTTTCCCGAACCCATCAGATATTGGGAGCGAGCCTACGACGGCAAGATCCTCGATCCCAGCGAGAAGTACGGCATTGAATCGTTTCCCGAGGGGTGAGTTAACTTAAAACCTACTTTAACCGGAACTTAACTCCCTTTTATTTTGGTTTCTAGCTTCAAGACCACCATGCGCTTGATCATCAGTAATCTGAGGAAGGATGATTTTGGCTACTATCACTGTGTGGCCAGGAATGAATTGAATGCCACCATGGTTAACTTTGAAGTAGCACGTGGGTCTTACAAATAATAGCTAACCGAAGGATAACCGAGAGCTAACCCTCTCTCTCTCTTTTTACAGCTCAAGATCCGAACAGTGAGACCCCTTACGTGGGCAGTGGCATGAAGGTCTACGGCCAAAGACCCCCAGAAAGCGAGTGTCCCGTTTGCGACCAGTGTCCAGATCCCAGGTTAGAAATTATATAGAAAATCCCCTGATAAGTATAACTCAACATGATGATTATCTAGCTTGTACCAGTGCAAGGACCAAATACTGAATAGCTTTGAGATCCAACCCACGGGCAATCTGAGTTATCCCGGTCTACCCAAGCGACCGAAAAGTGAGTGGAATAAGTTCCCTTTTAATATATAATATAGAATACCAATCTCGCCTTTTAATAGCCTGCTATCTGTATGCCGTGGGCAAGCCCGTTTTCCACAAGGTGGTCAACGAAAAGTTCGGCTCCTGGCTGAGGGATCCTTCGCCGGATAGCGATAAGGAGAAGACCTTCGTGACGAACGAGAACGATCCGTACAATTTGTTTGAGTTCACCACCCGCATTCAGTACCGAATGAACAGCATTCCCCGGCGGAAATACGAAATTCAAGAGGGCTTTCATGTGGGTTTTTCTTAGATTTCTTAATCAAGATTTAGCTATAACCCTAACATTTTAGGGCAATGCTCATGTGGTCTTCAACGGTTCGTTCTACTATCAACAAAGGAACTCGGATCTGGTGGTCAAGCTGGACTTGATCAGTCTCAAGAAGATAAGTGAGTGTTCTGATTTCTAATTTCCTATTCCAATTGGTAATAACTGTTTTCTTTTAGCCACACAATTGCCATTTGCCGGAGTGGCAGCTGCAAATAGGCTGTATGCCACCGACTTCAACTACATGGACTTCAATGTGGACGAAGTGGGTCTTTGGGTGATCTACAGCACCTACAACTCGAACAACACGCTGGTGGCCAAGGTAAATGTCCCTATTTCTTTGGAAGTATCTTCAAAAAATTAACCAAAAAATCCAACAGTTGGATGCGGAGACTTTGAAGATGCAGTACAACTTCAATATCACCCTGGACCACCATCAATTCGGCGAGATGTTCATCGTGTGCGGCAATCTGTATGCCATCGATTCGGGCACGGATAAGAATACCCAGATTCGCTATGTGGTCGATCTGTACAATGGCAAGCTGCTCAACACGAATCTGCCCTTCTCGAATCCCTTTAGCCACACCACAACCGTTGGCTACAATCCCCTTACAGTGGTAAGTAGCTTTATCTACCGGTTATCTTCCGGTTAAGCTTTATATCTTGTTTATTTCAGGAACTCTACTCCTGGGACAAGGGCAATGCACTCACATATCCCATACGCTACAACGAACAGCGTCTCATCGCCGACAATAGTTAGGAGAAGATGAAGAACTTTAAGATCTTAAAGATCCTAACGAGATCCTAACGGCTCAAATCTAAATAGTCTAAGGCACAATAAATAAATGTAAAGTGTTTTTTTTTCCAAAAGCAAACATCTCTTGGTTAATATTTGCTCTGAGATCATTGGTTTGTTTTCCCAATGCACTTGCTCACACTGTCTGGAGATTCGCTAATTGAAAGGCACAGCGAAAAGGGAAAGTGTGCGAAAATTGTTGGGTGTGAAGTGTTAATTTGCCAAAGGTGGAACAAAAAGTGCTGAGAATGTTACTATTTATTCTACCGACAGGGCATATAATTATCTTTACACATTCAACTGTTTTTCCTTAACGATTTTAAGCATTTTTCATTTAATTAACCTTCTCTTAACCTTCGGTTAGTTACTCCCCATCCATATTCCCCGTATCATTAAGTGCCACTTTGCAGCTCCTCTCCGTTCTCAATTAGCCGCGATAATGTTGACATTATCCGGGGCTGGTTCCATTAATTATGCCTGCTTAAAAGGCCTGGACCCCGGGCATTCGGCCAATTGCAGCAACAAGTTCCTGGGCCGAGATGCCAAGGCGAAAAGCGAGAGGCGGAATAAAGGTTCGAGTTAATTTCCAGCCAGGGACACAGCTGCCGATCGGGGATCTGGGATTTGCATTGGGGGCTAAAGGGGGCTGAAAGGGGACTGAAAGGGCGGCGGCTATGTAGGCCACATGCCGGGCTGAAGCTCCAGCAGATTGACGGACTGGCAGAGTGACGGCCTGTCAATAAGGGAAAACCACCCAAGCTCGTCACGAAAGCGTTTCGATGTTTGGCAGGCCCACCCTAGACCACCCTGAACCAGTCACTATGTTGATACACACAGAAAAATCAAAATATAATACCGATTTCTGTACAAAAATGGAATAAAAAGTTAATAATTATGAAAATTCCCTTTTGGTGACCCCGAATTTTTATTTACCTCTACAAAAAGTGGATAAGGTGGCTATGTTTGGTGACCTTTTTTTGCAAAGGCAATCAATTTTCCAGTCAAAAGAGGCGAAAGATAATGAAAAAAAATTAATTTCAATCAAATGCTGCTGAATATGGGGTTTGGTGACCCCGATATTTGTTTTAACCTGGTCTTTTGTCCAAATTTCTTGCCATTTTTGGTGACCCAGAAGGGAAATCAATTCTGCAGTTAAATGATATGGAAAAGTGCACCAAATTGGACAGTGTAATTCGGCTTAGCTCAGTGGGTAGTGGGTATTGTAGTTATAGGACCACCTCCTACATTGTTGTGCGTGCCTCAGAGTTCGTCTCTCGTCAATTGCGTTGCATGTTTGACAATTTGCATTTTTCGTTTTCCCCTACCCCGCCCCCACTCAAATCCCCTCCCCTTTGGCCATTGTCTGAGCGATTTTTCAGTTGCATTTTCCGATTCCCTTTGTCATCGTTGGGACGTCGAGGCAATTCGGGGATCTGGAATGCGTCACGGATTGCGGCAACTCTGCGGGAAAATGGGGGAAAGCGGACGAGTATGGGTATGGAGAAAAATGGGTAAAAACAGAGCAGTCACATAGCAGATGGCACTGGCTCCGAAATAGAGATTCCTTTTCACAGGATTGCATTCCTCATTGTGATGAGGAAAAGCAAGAGCAAGAGCAGAAACCCGAGTGTGAGTGAAATAAAATCAGCTTTGAATTATCGACGATGGAAAGCAAACAGAAGACATACAATTTAATTCAATGGCGATACCTTAAAAGTTTAAGAACTTTTGGGTTGATTGTTTCGAAATAAATCTATTAAATCTCTTGGGGAACCTTTGATATAAATTTAAAAAATCAATTATTTACTTTCCGAACCATCCAAGGCATCATTATAATCCGCTTTGGGCCTAAAGCCTGGTAATTAAAATCCCATTTGATGGCTATTCTCGGCCCCGAATCCTTCAACGGCGATTCCTTGATGACAGAGAGCCAATGACCATCAATCAATTATCAGCACCACCAGCAACCTTTGGCCTTTTCTGCTCGAGTGTTTCGATTTATGCAGTTTTAAATATATATGTATATGCGACGACTATATATATTATGTATAATTACCGTACTGGTTGCGTTCCTTCACTTTTTTTCCTTTTGGCCCAATGCCAGCGGAATCGTTTGACTGGGCTAATCCCCAGTTTTATGGACACCCCGCCCGTTTGCCACCGAATTTCCGTTTCCTCTTCTCTTCGCACTCTCTATCATTTTTCATTTTTTGTTTGTTTCCGAGTTGCCTGTGTTGAGGCAGGCCCATCTGGTGCCGTTTGTAAGGATAATGCGCTCTTGTCAAATTGCCAAGTGTGTAAGGGGGGGAGGGGGTTTCAGGATACAGCATAAAGACTACTGAGTGGGAGGGACTTTGGAACAGCTGTTGGACGCTAAGCGCCTTCCATCTGCCGGAATCCGCTGAAGTCCGTGGACAAACAATTTTCATGCTTGAACGCCGACTACTTCCCACTTCTTACTTGGACCCCTCCCCTTTTCACTTGTGTTTAGCAACAGTTTGCTTCATTAAATTGCAAACGAGCATTCAGAATCCAGTGTCTCGCGGGGGGGGAGTGAGCCCCCTGATTCGGAAAGGGGGGTTACCTACAGGTCACTCTTACAGTGTTTACGCTTTAATCAAAATGCAAAATGTAATTTGGAATTTTAGCCTGAACAACGTGAGCAGTTCACTGGGCCATAAAGAACCTTCCCTTATCAGAAAGGGCAAAATGGAGATGAGAAAATCTATCAGGTAAAATAGTTTAATAATTACAATACACCCAAAAAAAACTTGATATGAAACGAAGATCAATTTGATGTTATGTGGTATCAATTTTGACTTCAATTGTGTCTTTCTCTCTTCCACATTTACATTTTCAATTTAAGTTACATTTGAGTGCTCTCTTTTTCGAAGTCAGAGAATCTTCGAGAAAGAGAAATTGGTATTGCATGGTAAAAACGACATGCGTATAAATACCAGAAATTTACCATGCGTATATCGATTTGGTCCCGTTGTGTTTCTTTTTTTTTGTGTAGGAACTTTTATTTTAAAACATTTTTTGTGCCAGTTAGTTTTAGTTTTTTAATTGAAATCCCCACTGAAATAAGAAATAAACTATAAAAAAACTTTATTTCTAGCTTTAAAACTATTCCAATTGCTAGAAAAAAGCCAGAATTCCAGCACCAAGGAACTTAAAACGTAGAGTGGGTTCAAAAGCAATTACAAGGGGCCAACAACGTTCAAGGGAAAAGGGCCAATAATCATGGCCAAAGCTGCCAATCGTTGATGCGTTAAATTATTTCTCGTAATAAAGCCGAAGGGTGTCCAGTGTCCTGGCCAGTGAAACTTTAATGAATGACCCCCCCGCCGTCAAAAGGCGGAGATCACTTGAGAAGGCAATAACATGCCCTAAACAGTCGTAAATTGAGTCACGAGCTGTCATAGTTCGTTGCTCGCGATGGTGAAATTACTTGGTCCAAACCCTTGAAGGAAACTTCGTTGACAATTTCGAAGCAACTTTGGATTTCCAAATGAATGAAAATCTTAATCCTTCAAGGCGAAAAACAAGGAAACTTAAATATCTTTTAGAAGTGCCCAGAAGTATGCAACATTTCTGACTGCCTTTTTAGCTGCATACTTTTAGACACCTTTTTTGTTGTTTAGAACCTCCAAATATAACTTCTTCAAAATTCTTAAAGATTTTCTTTTGAAACCTGAAATATTTAAAATGTTCTGTTACTAGGGTTTTTAAATGATTTTTTAGCTGCATACTTTTAGACACCTTTTTTTGTGTGCCATATATTGTCTTTAAAATCATAAAATATACCTAAACTTTTTCCCATTTCTTTCATACTCCATAAATCGAAATCCTAATGACTCTGCCCAATCAATTGATGGTGCTGTCTGCTCCGGGTTATGGTAAGACATCTAATCCAGTTCAAGCTGCTCTCCCAATTCAATTTTGTGTTGGCAGTTGATTGGAGGTTTGTTTAGAAGGGGAGGTTTGTGGGAGAAGGGGAGGTTCCCAGTGAGAACCTGAGAACCTGAGGAGCCCGAAAGGAGGATCCATTGTGGGTTAGACAATGCCCCGATGGCCCTCGCCGCGTGCCAGAGACAATGGGGCGGATGCACAATGCCGGGCAGTTCGGTCTCAAGTCTCAAAAATAAACCCCGACAAGTGGCGACCTCTGGCCTCCCCGCCTTGGATCTTTACGTTTTTTGTGCTTTTAAATGCGTTAATTGAGTGCTACGAATTGTCTTTCGACACTTCTGTTTTGTTTGTCCTCCTTTGTGTTTGGTTTTTTGTTTTTTTTTTACTCTTTTTTTTATACCCACATCTTTTTTTTATCGTCGAGTGGGGGGGGGCATTCAGCTTTTGTAGTCCCACCCAGCCAAACAACAAATCAAAGTCAAATGGTCAACGAGACACAGGGAAAACAGCAAAGAAAACAGAAAATAAAAACACACACCCAGATGGTTGGCATCAAAATGCCGGAATTGCATATACACTGGGTTAATGGGATGCTTGAGTTAGGACATTTGAGGAATTGACATATCATTTAATCGGATGCCAATCAAAACAAAATTGAAATTGATGCTCATTTCGTTATTAACACTCCGAGGCAAAGCACAAACGATTCGAATTCCGAGTAATTTATATGCAATCACACAACGAGCTAATGAAGCATTGATAAAAAAATGTGTACCAAAAATAAACGCAATTAAAATAAACTGAAGTGAAGCGGCAATGAAAATTGAAGGCATTAGAGAGAAATTCGCTTTAATTTAATTATTTTAAATTTAATATCAATTGAAGGTATTTGTGGAAAATACTTGACCACCGAAAAGCGCCAAAAGGCTTAAAAACCATAATTTGTGTGCCTTTAATTATGCACAGCAAATATTTCGCTCTGCTGGAGTTGTGCGTAAATATTTGCCTGGCCTATGGCAATTTTATATTCTTTTTTCGCACAAAATTAAAAAAATTTAAATATTTAATGGAATGTAAGTGATACTCTAAGTTACACATAGTTAGGAACCCTTGAAAAAATCGAAGCTTTCCCTCTTGAAATGTTGTCCAAAAACAGAGAAAAGTAAG